CTGGGCAAGGGGCCGATCCTGCGATTGGAGGGTGATGGGGGCTCCCAGTATGTGAGAGGGGGCAGGCTGGGCTGAGGGACACTCCCCCCCCACACACACACACACACCCAGTGCACGAATTTCGTGCACCGGGTCCCTAGTTAGATATATTAGCACGACCATGTACTACCTAGACTGATCCCTACTATATAGTAATTTAGGTGCCTACATAAGAATGAAATGCAGGGGGACTGCTCAATATGTAAATGCAGAGGGTACAGCCCTGACATTTGAGACCTGGAGTTAACATGGTTCCAGGGAAAAGGACTTCTGTGACTAGCATTTTATAAATGTGGGAGCCAGAGAGAAAGGACCATGAAGTAGGTACATTGTCTTGCATGGGGGGGGGGCAGTGATGTCATACCCCAGGAGAACTCACAAATAAGAAGAATTTGGTTGCCCTCTAAGACTCTACTACAATATCAAAGCAGAGATACGTAAAATCATTTTAAGGAATAAGGCTGCCTCCCACCCCGACCTGAGGAAACCTTACTTTTGACTAAACACGCAAATAGTATTTTAAAATGTTTTATTTAAAAATTATTTGTTGCTTTAGAGACCTAGGATTGCATTCCGATTCTTCCATTTACTTGCTTTGTGTCTCTGGCTGCTTTGCCTGCGAGTTTCCTCGCTTGTAAATGGGTTACAACAGCTCCTTCATTGTTGTTATTACTGAGAGAAGCAACTAGATGTCAGGGCCAGGCTGAGAGATACTCAGACTTTGTCCCTGTTGGCCATTACCATGAGTGAGTCATAGGCCTTTTTGAGGTCCAAGGTCTAGGGAAACTCAAGAATTATTGCTTCCTTTCCACACATTCCCCTGTGAAGCGAGAGATTCTCTGTGTGAGACAATCAAAGGGTCCCATCTTTAAAGTGGGGGAGGCCCTGTAAAATGCCCGATTGAGTCTATGTCATTGGCTTAAGTGTTCACATTTTTGGAAGGGAGAGGGTTTTTGTAATTTTTGCAATTCCCAGCCAGGAGCTGTCCTGAGAGCTCAGTGTCAGCCTTTCCCAGGAGCGTCTGCCCCATGACCGCCATTAGGACACACTGTTGCCCAAACGTCCCAGCAGATGCGCTGCATGAGCTCATGTCTAGGTAGAGGGTTTCCTTTTCAGTGGTTCTCAACCTGTGGGTCGTAACCTCTTTGGCGGTCGAATGACCCTTTCACAGGAGTCGCCTAAGACCATCCTGCGTATCACATATTTACATGACGATTCATAACAGTAGCAACATGACAGTTATGAAGTAGCAACGAAAATAATTTTATGGTTGGGTCACAACATGAGGAACTGTATTTAAAGAGCCAGAAGGTTGAGAACCACTGCTTTAGACCATAGCAATGGGAACCCCACTCCCTGAAGGCTTTTCTGGAAACGGTGGGTCAGGTGGACAATAGAGCAGGGATTGTCCGCAAGGCTGTGCTTTCTGGTGGGCTGTTGATGATGGAAAATAAGCTTCCTGCAAATAGCTCAGTTGACCAGTTTGACTGCCCTGCACCCCATTGTTGTCCGGGTCTGTTCAGGCCCTGGCTTCTCCCCTCCAGCTTCTCTGCCACGTCCACTGAGATTTAACTTCCATGTACCATTCGGGTGCTCAGTCCATTGAAGGGATGGCACACGAAGACCTACCTTTCCCTGTCCACACTCTCAGCTGGGGAAAGCCTCTCCCATAAAAGTTTCTGTCTGCACAGCCCCCACCCCACCCCGCAAAGCAGCTTAGGCACATCAGGGCAGCATGTGGCTTCATCTCCTGTTCTCCTTTCTACAGTCCCTTCTTTCCCCTTGGTCATACGGTCTCTCTCCACACTGCTGACTGCCTCTCCAGCTACTAAATGAAGAAATCTCACCACCTCTTCCCATTTCAACCACCCTTACACATGCACCTTTAAATAAAAACCATTCTGTATCTAAGCAGATAAAAAGGAAATTAACCAAATTTGAAGTTCAACAGCTCAGAATGTGGTTGTCCGTTACATTAACCTGTGCCTCACTCCTAGAGATAAACATTTAGAAACGCCCCTTGTTAACTCATGCAACCTGGAGTTGCCCAACTAGCAGGACTGCTCCTTACACGGGACGCCTGGGGTGGGGGACTCCTTGGGAGTGGGGGTGGGCCTTCCCAGGCATTTCCTTCCTGGGAACTAAGGGCAGTTCCCACAATGCTGTAGGAGTCATTCCTGATCGTGGCAATGGCTGCATCCAGGCTACAAGCCTCCTGCGGTAGCTCAGTAGTGGACGGTCCATGGGCAAGAGCAGGGACTGTACCTGCCAGGAGCTCCTGGACCCACACAGGTCTTCCCTGTTCCAGTGGTTGGATCCCTGGGCTAATCTGGGCCTTTGTGGAGAAGCAGCTCCCACTTCCCTCCGCAGGAGGGACACTTGGTGGGGAGAGGAAGGAGGAGGCTCTGGCGGCAGAACACTCTACTAGGACGGCAAGCAGAAACCGGGCCTATTTCAGGGCTCATCTGAGAAGGGCTCTGAGCCTGGACCTTGGTCACAGTGATAGCATTGCACACCGAGAAACTAGACTCCGTGCAGGAAAAGACCTTAGTTCCTGTAACTCTCACCTCGCAGCTGACGACGCTGAGTAGATGGCTGCCACGTAAATCTACATGTGGTGAAGCTGAAAGGGGACCCGTGAGGCTGCCGAGCTCACCCCCCTTAGTTCTTAGATAAAGAACGTGAGCCGCTTGTTGGCTACCTGGTTGCATAGCAACTCAGTGATGACAACTAGGCCTTGGGCCTTCTGCCCGTGTCCCTGCTTCCCCAGGTCAGCCACTCAGCCCCTTAGAGTCCTGGGCAGAGGGGGGCGCTGGGTGCAGCTCAGGATGAGCCGAATCTCCCATGTGCCTTGTGCCCACGTGCTCTCATTGAAAAGCAGGCGAGGCTGAGCTGGTGCTGGCTGTGATGTGAGGGGAGGGACTTCTCTGCACAGCGAGGTCAGCAGGTTCATGGCAGCATCACACGATCCTGTGGGTCCGGGGTCTCTTCTCCATGAGCACGCGCTGCAGCTCTCAGAGGCTCCCAAAGAGAACGGGGTCAAAGCCTTCCTGTGCGTCTTCATCTGCCATGGGCGGGACAGTAATCCCTCGCTCCCCGGGTTTTTGTACCGATGTACGTGGCGCTTTGAGCGGTGGACAGTCGCTGTGTTTATTACTGTTCATCACAGAACGTGGTCAGCAGGTAGCTGGATGGTGCAAACTGCGGCTCCTCCAAGTGGTTGCAGAGCTGGGAGACATTCTCTTTGCCAAGGACACTTGGAGGACATTCCCTCTCTAAATGCTGGCAAATGGACCAGATGGGCTCTCTGGGTGCCTCCAGGCCTCTCTGTTTAAGATAATCTGTAAAATGTGTTAAAGAACGAGCTTATGTTGTCAGGGCTTTTTTTCGCTCTGTATTTTAATCAGACACTCTGAGGGTTTCTGATTAAAGTAGGTGAGGTGTTCCGTTCTCTCATATTCAGGATATTTGAAGGTTAAATATTCTGATTCCCTTACCCCAGCCCATCCTCAAG